GCTCCCTCCCCAGTGACAGTCCCTGCCTCTGCCTCTGTAGTTGAGACAGCAGCGGCTACCTCTGCCCCGGGCCGCTCATCTGGCGGCAAGGGCAAGGGCAAAGGGGGCACGGGTCGTAGGGGTCGGCAGCAGCGGGTGGAGGGGGTGAGGGTGCGGACGGAGAGGGTGGTCAGTCGGAGTCGGGGACTACACAGCAGCAGCAGCCGCCGCAGCAGCAGCAGTAGCAGCAGCCGCAGTAGTCTTGGGGGCCGGCGGGCCCTGTGGGTGGTAGTCATGGTGGAGGCCATGGGGGTTGGAGCCCTAGGCTGTCGGTGCCCTGGGGGTCGCGTGGCTCTTCTGTGAGTCAGGGTGCTGGTAGTTCTGGTAGCAACTTGCACGTACCAGCTGCTGACTGGCCTACTGGCGGGCCAGGTGTGCAGACGCGTGGGGCACACCGCCGCTCGCTGCTTCCGCCGCCTGGACGACCTCTACCGTCGTCACTTCGGCCTGCAGGTGCAGGTTCCCCCCTGGCCAATCTTACTTCGTCGTGGAGTTCCTATATTTTATATGGATATGATTCAGATTGACCATGCCTTGTATTCTCTATATTCTTATGCATCTAGTGTTGCTAGTTTTTATTATCCTGCTGTTTGTAGCCTTGGAGCTACTGCTGTGTGTAGTCTAGGATTCCCTCCTGCGTTGAGCGTAGGACCTGTTAGAGACTCTTCACCGGGCCCTGCCTCGTCGGCCCTCTCCTTTGTCTTAGACTCTGGAGCATCTCGGTGTTTCCTTCGAGACAGTACTGCTCTCACCCCGCTTCCTACTCCTATCCGCGTCGCACTAGCAGGCTCCTCCGCCACAGCTGTCGCACGTTGCACCACCACTCTCCCATGTCCGGCTGTCCCTTCCGGCTTCCTCACAGGTCTGCACATCCCCTCATTTTCTAGGAACTTAGTGGGTGTTGGTCACCTTCAGGACCGAGGCGTCACCACTACGTTCCCTGGCCGCGAGAGACACGCTACTTGCACAGACACAGTCACCGGTCGACACTTAGCTACCTTTGAGCGTGACCGTGGATCAGGTCTCTTTACCCTGCACATTGAGTCCCCGCTCACTGATGCGTCTGCCAAGGTCGCCACGTCCTGCTCCTGTCGCTCACTAGCCCAGCCGACCCTTCTGTGGCACCACCGCTTAGGTCACCCTGCACTCCCGTGTCTTAGGCACATGTCCCAGTACAGTCTAGTCACTGGTCTCCCTGCATCGCTCCCCGCCTTGCCTCCGTCGGTAGCGCCACTGTGCACCTCCTGCGTCGAGGGCCGGCAGCGCGCCGCCCCTCACTCCTCCTCGTTTCCTCCTACTACAGCACCAATACAGACATTGCACATGGACGTCTGGGGCCCTTCCCCGGTCCATGGTCTCAGTTGGGAGCGCTACTTCCTAGTCATCGTTGACGACTTCTTGCGGTTCACCACTGTTTTCTCATTGGAGCGGAAGGCCGACGTGCCGACCGTTCTCCTCCCGTGGCTTCTCACTGCTCGCACCGCCCACCAACTGTCTGTAGGTCACTTACACTCTGACCATGGTGGCGAGTTCGCCTCTGGCTCTCTAGGACGGTTCTGTCATGCGGAGGGCATCCGCCAGACGTACAAACTGCTGGACTACCCACAGCAGAATGGGGTCGCTGAGCGACGCATCGGCCTGATCATGGAGGTGGCTTGCACCTCCATGGTCCACGCCGGTGCACCCCATTTTCTGTGGCTGTTCGCCGTGCGCTACGCTACTCACCAGCTTAACCTGTGGCCGCGCTCCCAGCGACCACAGGTTTCGCCGACCCTCCTTTGGACCGGGTCTCCTGGTGTCGCGTCTGCATTCCACGTCTGGGGCAGCCTTGCTCACGTCCACGATACTGCCGCGGACAAGCTCTTAGCCCGCACTCTTCCTTGTGTCTTCTTGGGGTTCCCGCTTGACGCCTCTGACTGGCTGTTCTACCACCCCTCACACCACCGTTTTTACCACTCTCGTGACATCACCTTCGACGAGACGCCCCCCTACTACAGGCGCTTCCCACACCGCAGCGCTCCTGTGCCTCCTCCTCCTCTCTTCCTTGTCCCTGCCCCCCCTGTCGCACCCCTCCCGCCCCGCCCGGCCCAGTCTGGTGTCTCCCACGCCACTCAGTTCCCCTCGGTTCCCCCTGTGGGGGAGTCGGCTGGCTCTGGGGGTCCAGCTGCTGGGGGTGCGCCTGCTGTCCCTGTGGCGCCTCCCCCAGCCTCGGTCCCCCAGGCCCCTCAGCCGCCTGCTCCCTTGCCTCAGCAGCAGCAGCCGTCGCTGCAGCAGACTCCACGGCCGCAGCAGCAGCAGCAAGGAGCAGTGGGCTCTGGGGGTGCTGGTTCTGGGAGTGCGAGTTCTGGGGGTGTTGACTCCAGGGGTGCTGGTTCTGTAGGTGGTGAGACTGAGGGTGCTAGTCTTGGGGGTGCTGTTTTGGGGCATGCGGGTGGCAGCTGGGGTGCCCCTGGAGGTCCTGGAGCGGGCAAGCAGCAGCAGCAGCAGGTGCAGCCGCCACAACAGGAGCTGCAGCAGTCTGCCCTTCGTCTCCTTGGTCTTGCTACAGGTTCCCCTGTCAGCCCGCCCGTTCCCCCTCCGGTGCGTGACCCTGTTTACAGCCCATTGTTTCCTCTTCCTGACTCCTCTCCAGCTCGTTTCCCCCCGCGCTCCTCTCTGTCCCCTGACCTGTCCCCTGTCCCCCCTCATCCCCAGTCCCCAGTTCTTCCCCATTGGGTTCGTCGCCCCTCTGGTGCTCATCCTGTCTCTCCCCATCCTAGTGTCCACCCTATGCTCCTTCGTTCGCATGCTCCTCCCATCACGGTCCTCCCGTTGCCTCCCCCGTCGTCGCTACCGTCGTCCCCCCCTCCTCGCTCCGACGATGTTCGCACTACTCGTCCACTCCTGTCGCGCCTGCTTGCTCGCTTGTCACTGACCCTACTGCTCCTCCTGATTCTATCTCCGCGCTGGTCGCTGCTCTCGATGACTTTGCTGCTTGCCACCGCCTTGACTACGCTGCCGTTCTGGTCTCTGGTATTGTCCGTCCTCCATCCGTCGGGGGTGCACCTGCCCTTGGCAATGACGTGCTAGAGGACAGGCAGTACGAGTTGGCCTACCTTGCTGCCATTGTTCCCCATCTCTGCTCCATACTGGTATCCCCAAAGGGCGACCCAGATGCTCTCGACATCCCTGTTCCGCACTCTTACGCTGAGGCGGTGTCGGGGCCCAGGGCAACCCAGTGGATACAGTCGATGGAGACTGAGATGGCATCCTATAGATCCACTAGCACCTACGTCGACGTAGTTCCCTCGCCTGGGGCGAACGTAGTCGATGGCATGTGGATCTACAGGGTGAAGCGCGCACCTGGAGAGCCGCCGAAGTTCAAGGCGCGTTACGTGGCTAGAGGCTTCACTCAGGGTGAGGGAGTGGACTTCTTCCAGACCTTCTCCCCGACCTCGAAGATGACTACTCTTCGGGTCCTTCTTCACATGCCGCACAGCGTGACTACGAGCTTCACTCACTCGACTTCTCCACAACGTTCCAGCAAGGTAGTCTGCACAAGCAGATCTACCTCCGGCACCCTCTAGGCTTCTCTAGGTGCTTCCCACCTGGGACCCAGTGGAGCCTGCGCCGTCCTGTTTACAGCCTTCGTCAGGCACCCCGTCAGTGGCACGACATGCTTCGCACCACTCTTGCTGAGCTGCAGTTCTTTCCGTCCTCTGTTGACCCCTCTCTCTTTGTTCGCACGGGTCAGACACCATTCTATATTCTAGTGTACGTAGATGATCTTATCTTTGCTACTCCCGACAGAGTTGCACTGGCCTCTTTGAAGGCCGAGTTATTTAGGAGACACACCTGTACAGACTTGGGGGAGCTGAGGCGCTATCTGGGCTTGGAGATCTCTCGTGACTGTGCCGCTCGCACGATCACACTCTCCCAGTCCCATATGGTGCAGCAGATCCTCCAGAGGTTTAGTCTCCAGTTCTCCTCAGCACAACCCACCCCCCTGCCTGTGGATCACAAGCTCTCTGCTCCTATTCCGGCGGAGCCGGTCGAGGCTAGTGGTCCATACGCAGAGTTGGTGGGGTGCCTCATGTACCTGATGACCTGCACTCTACCAGATCTAGCATACTCTCTCCGTCTCTTGGCTCGCTTTGTTGGGACAGGCAGGCACCGACCAGTCCACTGGTCGGCTGCCAAGAGGGTACTGCGGTATCAGGCGAGTACATCAGGACTGGGGCTTGTGCTAGGAGGACGGGAATGAGTGGTGCTCACTAGACACACAGGCGCGTCGTGGGCAGACGGCTTGGAGACACTCAGGTCGACTCGGGGCTACTGCTTTAGTCTTGGTGCTGGTGCGGTATCGTGGAGGTCCACCAGGTCGTCGTCTGTAGCTCAGTCTAGCTGTGAGGCAGAGATCTACACTGGGGTCATGGCTGCTCAGGAGCTCCGCTGGCTGACGTTCTTGCTCACTGACTTAGGTGAGCCGCCTAGGTCTGCCCCGGTCCTGTTTGCTGACAGCAGGGCCATGATCCTCTTGTGTCAGGAGGCACGACTTGAGGGCAGAGCGAAGCACATCCAGCTGCGGTACTTCCTGCTGCGAGAGTTGCAACAGCGCGGTCAGGTCCGTGTAGTACAGTTGGCCTCAGAGGCCAACACTGCTGATATCTTCACCAAGGCATTGCATCTCGTGACCATCAGCGGTTCTGTACTCAGCTAGGTCTAGCCTCAGTAGCAGCACCTCTCCTTGTATCCCGAGTCATACTATACCTGCCTGTACTTGTTGTGTTATACCTGCTTGTCTTGCTACACTTGCTGACTAGCCTTGTGGCCTCTTGTCTCTGTGGTCAGACTAATAGTACTGCCCTGAGTTTTTTGTTATTGCACTCATCAGAGGTCAGACAGAGCTGCCCTGGTGTACTTTTCTTTGTTAGGGACTGCCACTATCTTGGCTAGGGGGTGTGTCAACAAATATAATTGTCTATGCTAGGTACAGTATATTTGTTATAGCCTTAGTTAGGTCAGTTCTTAGAGGGTACATTCCCACCTTTGTAACTCTCAGCCTTCCTCCCTTGGCTCACTTTTCTCTCGACATTCTAACAGAAACACCCTTCAAATTTGAGGCCTGGCCCCATCCCCAGCTTCAGCTTCTGCAGTTTATTATCAACTTTGCAACTACCATATTTTGCACTCCGAAACCACCGCCACAGCCCCTTCCAGCTTCATATCCTGCGGCTTATCCTCAGCAGCGTAACCACTGGAAAGATCGGCAATCAACTTGCGCATTTTCTGTATTTCACACTCCCTAATCACCCTGTCACAACCCCATCTCCCGCTTCAGCTTCTGCAGCTCATCGTCGATCTCCTTCTCCTTCTCTATCTTGATCCTCTCCTCCCATGCCCTCTGCTGCGCTCTGTCAGATGCGCCTGATGATGATGAATACGACGATGATGATGATGATGATGATGAAGTTGACCTGGACCCGCTGCTACTGCTATCACCACCACCACCACCACCACTGCTTCTGTTGTTGCTACTGCTGCTACTGCTGCTGGTATTGGTGTTTGTACCCCTGCTGCTACTGCTGCTGCTGTTGGTGTTTGTGCCCCTGCTTCTGCTGGTGCTGCTGTCACTGCTGCCATCAGGCCTGCTGCTAGCCCCAGAGTAGAAATACTCTTTATTGTACTTGGGCTTCTCCTGCACCTCCGGTGCATTCTTCTCAAGGAAATCCACCAAGTCCTCTCCAAGGTCCTGTTAGCAGGGAGTGCAATGTGGGAAATAATAATGCCACCGGGTATGCATTAGAGGTATTGTACTTCAGCTCCTGCTGCTCCTCCAGTGCGCACTGGACATTGAAAAGAACCTCTAAACATACTGCACCAAGTCCTCTCCAAGGTCCTGTTAGCGGGGAGGGCAATATGGGGTACAATTAACAGCCGCCTACTGTACTTGAGAGCATACTGTGCACCTCCACTGCATTCTTCTCAAGGAGATCCACCAAGTTCTTTTCAATTTCCTGTTGAAGAGGAGCGTCGTTGGGGAGAGACAACTGCTGTAGAGGAATGCAAACAAGCAATAGTGGAAAGACTCAAACTCAACTTTGGAAAAACAGTATCTCGTACCAACTTCCTCATTGCAATCACACTCGTGCCATCTTCTTCATTGCAATCACAATCATGCCATCTTCCTCATTGCAATCACACTCGTGCCATCTTCCTCATTGCAATCACACTCGTGCCATCTTCCTCATTGCAATCACACTCGTGTCATCTTCCTCATTGCAATCACACTCGTGTCATCTTCCTCATTGCAATCACACTCGTGCCATCTTCCTCATTGCAATCACACTCGCGCCATCTTCCTCATTGCAATCACACTCGTGCCATCTTCCTCATTGCAATCACACTCGTGCCATCTTCCTCATTGCAATCACACTCGTGCCATCTTCCTCATTGCAATCACACTCGTGCCATCTTCCTCATTGCAATCACACTCGTGCCATCTTCCTCATTGCAATCACACTCGCGCCATCTTCCTCATTGCAATCACGCTCCCTCAAACCCCCCCCTTCCACCCTCACGCACCACCAGCTTGTCCCACAGCTCTTGGGCTTGCCCCAAAACTCTCCCCTCACCCTATTCCCCCCTGCTTTTAGGCACATCACAGTCTCAGACATCGAAAAACCACACCCTGCTTCTCCCTACACGCACACCCACCCATCATCATCTGCTTCCCTTTCGCCCTCCCATCCCACGCCCCTCTGCCATGCTCCCCCCCCGCCCCCCCCTCACCGCTAGTCCTTCCCACAGGCTCTTGCACACCCTCCCCCCACCCAGCCCCCCCCTGCTTCTCCCCTACCCTCACATTGCGCACTCACAACTTCTTCCCCAATCACAACCCCCGCCCCTCTGCCCGCCACTCACCGCCAGCTCCTCCCACAGGCTCTTGGGCTTGCCCCCGCCCCGCTCCTTCTGCTTCTCCTCAAAGTCCTTCTGCAGGTCCTTGAAAAAATCGTCTGCACATGAAAGGAGAGGGGGGGGGGGGAGGGGAGGAGAGGAGGAGGGGTTGAGGGTGTGAGGGCGGGGGCCCAGGTAAGCAAAAACGAAGGCGCCTTCTCCTCAGAGTCCTTTGGCAGGTCCTTGAACGAATCGTCTGCACATGGGTGGGGGACGGAGGGGAAGGGGGAAGGGGAGATCTGAGGCGCCTCAACACTCGCTCCTTGTGCTTCTCCTCAAAGTCCTTCTGGAATCTGAAGGTCCTTGAAGAAATCGCCTGCACATGCAAGGGGACAAGTGGGGGGAAGGGGAGGCGGGGGAGTGGGGAACGGGGGGAGAGGAGATCTGAGGCGCCTCAACATCCGCTCCCTTTGCCTCTGCTTCTCCTCCAAACCCTTCTGAAGGTCGTTGAAGAAATCGTCTGCGCATGAAGGACGGGGGGGGATGAGGGAGAGGGTTTTGGGAGGGGGCCGGCAAAATAGAGGGATGCACGGCTGACGGGTCCATCTGCTTCTCCTCCTCGTCCTTTTTTAAGAGATCGTGCGCACATGGGGGGGAGGAGGGGGAGAGAGGAGAGAGGGTGAGAAAGTGGGCGAAGGAGGAGAGTGGGTGAGAGGGTCGGGGGAGGGAGGCGTAGGGAGAACGGAGATGCTTCTTCCTCACAGACCTTCTGCACATCCTTGAATAAATCGTAAGCACATGGGGAGTCGATTTTCTAGGCGCCTCAAAAATCAATCGTGTGCACAAGGGGAGGGAAGGGGGGAGGGGGGAGAGAGGAGGATAGGATGAGAGGAGGATAGGATGAGAGGAGGATAGGATGAGAGGAGGATAGGATGAGAGGAGGATAGGATGAGAGGAGGATGGGATGAGAGGTGGGGTGGGAGAGAACGGGGGCGGGAGGGGGCGGCAAAAGAAGGTGCATTTTCCTCAAAGTCCTTCAGCAGATCTGTGAAGAAATCGTGCGCACATGGGGGTGTGGGGAGGGGGGGTGGTGGAAGGAGTTGGCGGGGGGAGGGGAGGGGGAGGTAGACGGGAGGGCGGGGAGCAGGCGAAACGAGGGAACCACCTGATTGCCCTCGTTACAGTGACAACGGGGGGGGGGCGGGGGGGGGGGGGTGGGTGGGGAAGAATGGGGGGCGGTTGTTGGGGAAAGGTGCAGGGTTTGGGGGAAGAGGCCGGGATGGGGAGGGGGATGGTGGAGCGGGTGGAATGAAGGAGGCTCGTCAAATAAGCCCTTCAGGAGGTCCTTTTGAGGATTCTCAAAAAACACCTTCAACGTGAGGTCCTTCACGAAACTAACTGCTCATCTAATGGGGTTCCGGTTTTAACTAGTTTTAGTTACTTTATTTCCTTCACAAGGTACTCTCTTCTAACCGCCGTGCATCAATGCAACCACCAGGGGACATGCGAGAACACGATGCACCTCATCAAGTCTGTAGAAGCCATTTAGCTTGTATAACATGAATACGGAATCAACACCCTTCAAGGGATCCCACAAAGGGTTACGTTTTCCCCTTCCAAGCGTCAAGGGGGTCAAAGAGCGAGCCAAAGTCACTCTCCCACTGCCCACTATCCAGCTGCCTTACTTCCTGCTGAAAACCCCAGCCCAGGACAGCACAAGTCAGGCCACAGAGTCACAGACTCACCAAGGCTGTAGAAGTCGTCTGGTTTGTTCGCGGGTCCCTTCCACGCATCAAAGGGGTCAAAGGGCGCGCCAAAGTCCGCGTCCCACTGCCCGCTATAGCCCCCCCTCGCCCTGCTGCTCGCATTCCACTGCTGCTGCTGCCGCTGCGAGGCGGCCCTCGCCTTGGCGTTGGCAGCAGCATCGGGGTCTGTGAGCGTCTGGTACGCCTGCTTTATGCGCACAAAGCGCTGCTGGGCGTCGGGCTGGTGGGGAGACGAGCAGGGGGGGTTGAAGGAGAGACGAGCGAAAGGGATGAAGGGACTGGGTCTGTGAGTGTGTGTGAGCGTCTGGAACGCCTGCCTGATGCGCATAAAGCGCTGCTGCGCGTCCGGCTGGGGTGTGGTACAGGGCGGGATAAGGGGGAGAGGGGTGCAGGGGGAGGGAGGTTGGAATGCAAGCAAGTAGAAGGGGGTTGGTGAGCGTCTGGTAGGCCTGCTCAAAGAGCACAAAGCGCTGCTGGGCGACCGGCTGGAGTTGGTGGGGGAGGAAAAGGGGGAGAGGGAGAAGGGTAGAAGGAAGGGAGAAAGGAAGAGGGGAGGGAGAAAAGGGAGTCTGTGAGTGTCTGGTCGGCCTGCTCAATGCGCACAAAGCGCTGCTGGGCGTGGGGCTGGAGTCGAGGGTGGGGGGGAGGGAAAGGGGAAGGGAAAGTAGATTGAAGAAGGAAGAGGGGTTGAAGAACGGAGGAGTGGGAAGATTCGGAGAGGCAGGAGGGAGAAGGCAGGGGAGAAGCGGAGAGGGAGGAATGGGGAAGAAAGTACACACCGCTTTATTCACGTCGGGATGACACTTATCGCTTTATTCACGTCGGGATGACACTTATCGCTTTATTCACGTCGGGATGACACTTATCGCTTTATTCACGTCCGAGAGGCACTTAAGAGCTGCTGGGAATAGGTGCATTCTACACTTACCGCTTTATTCACGTCCGGATGGTATTTCAGCGCCAGCCGCCGAAACGCGGACTTTATCTCCTTCTGAGACGCGCCTCGAGGCACGCCCAGCACCTCATACGGCGATTGCTCCGCTCCTGCCGCCACCACCACCACCACTCCCCCCCCACCGGCAACCCCTATTGCGGTAGATACTCTCCCCCTCCGGCCCGCCCGCCCACTCATTATTCCGCCTCTTCCGCCGCTTCCCCATACCCCCCCGATTTCCCCGCCTGACCACCCGCATTGCTGCACGCGCTCCCCGATGCCGGTGCTCTGACAGCTACGCGCGCTCGCCGATTGCCACGTGTCGCTCAAGGCTCCTACACTCGATAGTGTCGCGTGCGTCGTGGTGACGACAGGCATGCTGAGGCGGCCATGGCTGCTGAAGTGAGAGCCGCGAATGGCGGTATGGCTGCTCAAACCAACCCCATGGTGCGATAAATTTCCTGAAGAAGCCGCCATGCGAAGCTGCGTCGTCAGCGACATGTGCGACAGCGTGCGAGCTGGAATCCCGTGCCTGACGACGAGGTCTAAAGCGGGAATGCGAACTTTTGGGTCGACGAAAACATAGGCCTGTAGCGGGAATGCGACCTGACGCGTCTCGATATTCGAACTGAACGGCCGCAAAGAGGAGACGAACGAAGCGCGTGTCTGGTCTCCAGGCTCGATCCCACAAAAGTAGGAGACGCGTCGTCTGGCGAGGCAGTGTGGTCTGATTCGTGAATCCTGTAATCCTCTCGCAGAATCCTGCAACCAGACATGTTCCGATTGAGGACCGCATGTTCACGTTATAGGCGGGGTTGTGAATTTATCCTAAGACCGAGGCCAAGTGAATGTCGCCCAATAACGAATTGGGATAATAACACCTTAATCCCCGGATATAGGCGCAGCCATTTATTAAGCCCAGTAGGCTTATAGAGTGCAATCGCGCTTATAGCCGTTATTTCATTATACGCGCACCCCTTTTTTCGAAAATCTATTCCCTATAAGCGCATTGAGTTACTATTAAAAAACAGGTGCATTGCGAAACTTCCATATCGAAAACTCTGTGCCAAATCTCCCGCAGCACTCTCGCACCCCTCCCAAGCACCTCGCCAGCCAGATTCCTGCGTTTCCTGATCACTGTCTTGCCTATGATTGGTCCATACCCTGCCTTCCCAGCATAGTTGTGCTGGCGAAACTTTCGCCAGATATTCCGCGCGATATCTCTGCGCGTTCCCTTTTGAAGATAGTTGTATTGGATCCTGATGGGCTGAGAAAAGCCCTTAGGATCTTTTCAGAGACTAAGTCCCACTTGTATAAGATGCTTAAGTAGTGCAGCGGAAGTTGAGTAATTGAACTCTTGCACTAGTATGTGAGAGCAAGTAATTGATTAAAAGAAACAAGCACACATCAATATATAGGGAAATAGGAAATGAAGCAGTTTGTAGAATACAGTTGAAGAAACAGTTATCGAGTCGCACAGCGACTCGATTGTCTCGTTCGGTTACCATCCTTGCAGTCGCAACGGTCAATCGTAACCTCCGGTTGCGACCCTTTGAGTCCCTTCGTCCTTTTGTATTCTTTCGTCCAACCTCCTCGTGTAACCTCCGTTGACTCGCGCACCCGATACGACTTTCCTCGAGTGTAGTGTTACATTTCAGAAACGCTCCCCTTCGTTTCTGGAGTGCTGACGTGTCCGGATTCGGTGACGTTTATCTGCCCAGTCAGCAGCATGCAGTAATCGAACTTTGCCTTCGCCAGTTTCTTCGTCAGGTAGTCTGCAGCCATTTCTGTCGTAGGGCAGTAACTGAGTTGAAGTCTCCCCTTCGCGATGTCATCATTGACGAAGAAGTACCGCATGTCGATGTGCTTGGTTCGATTGGCGAACCCGTCTTTGTTCGCGATTTTGATCGCGGATTGGTTGTCGTAGAATAACGAGAAGGCGGGCATGGTCGCAATTTTCGCTTCCTCGAGCAGCTCCCGCAGGTAAAGTCCTTCTTTGGTTGCAGCGCAGAGAACCATGTATTCCGCTTCAGCCGGGGATAGCGCGACTAATTCCTGCTTGCTCGATTGCCAGGAAATAGTCCGGATAGGTTCTAGTCGGTAGATGTAGCCCGTTCTGGAGCGTCGATTTTCCTTATCTCCCGTATGGTCAGCGTCGACATAGTCGAGTAGTTGTACGGACGATGGCGTTACTTTGCTGTAGGTAAGTGCGGTCTTTGGCGTAGAGACGAAGTAGAGCAGTGCCCGATTTAGCTCCTCGAGATGTTCTTGCTCCGGCGGCTTCAGGTGTGTCGCCAGTTGGCTAGCGCTGTAGGACAGATCCGGTCGGCAGGCTACTGCTGCAAACAGGAGGCAGCTGAGCTTCTGTTGATATTCCTGAATTTGCGTCGCGGGGAGCTTTGCGGAGGTGTCGATGTTGTCGTTCCCGTAGCAATAGGGAGTCGCGACTGCGACCGGCATTAGTCCGAATTTCTTCGCGACAACGCCTTCGTACTTTCTGGCGTGTCGGTAGAACGCCGAAGCGTCTTCGATGATGTTCAGACCCGGGTACTGGGTTACGGTGTCTAACACCGTGAGTGTTAAGTTGCTTTTCAGCTCCCCTTCGAACCAGATGACGACGTCGGTAGTGGAGCCGACGTAGAGCAGGTCATCGACGTAGACGATGAGTAGGACGAAATCCCCCCCTTTCTGTAGTCGGTACATTCCTTGGTCGTGCGGCAGCTGCAGAAGCCGATCCTGACGAGGCGGCCGTGAAGGTGCTGCTGCCAGAGCCGCGGGGCTTGTTTGATTCCGTAGAGGGATTTTACCAGCTGGCATACTTTGGTGGGATCGTCGATGAACCCGTGGGGCTGTTCGACGAAGATCTCGGCGTCCACAGGTGCGTACAGGAAGGTGTTGGCGACGTCGATCTCGCGCAATGGTAGCCTTTTCGTGGCCGCGACGGCGAGTAGAATACGCAGGGAGGTATGTCGGGAGACTGGGGCGAATGTCTCCGTGTAGTCGGTTCCGTATCGCTGATCGAATCCTCGTACCACCCAGCGAGCCTTGAAGCGGCCAATGGAGCCATCCGCGTTAGTCTTGATGCGGTACACCCATTTCCCCGAGAGCACATTCTTCCTGTTGGTTTTTGTTGCAGGTACCAGCTTCCACGTGTTTCGGTCTTGCAGGGCCTTCAGTTCTTTTTCCATTGCTTCCTTCCATTTTGCCTCGTGTTCCCCCCCCAGAGCCCGCGACAGAGTCGTTGGCTCTCGCGGTGACGGCGGCGGCAGGCTCTGGATGGCGACCCATAGTCCAAGTATCTGTAGGCCCGTGGGTGTGTGTCGAGGGGAATTTTCATTCCGGGGATAAGCTGGTTCTTCACCATCTTCGGGGTCACGTAAGAAGTTTGGTCCGATGAGTTCAGAGACATTTTTGTCGACCGGTTGAGGTGTAGTGTAACCCTGGTCAGCGAAGTGGTAATAGGTGTCGAGGTTGTTACTATCGAGGGGGTTGTCGTCGTCGAGTGGAACGGGCACAGAGCAGTAAGTGAGTGGTCCGGCAGCTTCCGAGGCTTCAGGTACGTCTTCTTCTGCTGCGTCAGCTTCGGCAGCACGGTCGGTGAAGGACCGATGGCCCTCGAAGCCGTCGGTGGGGTCTGCTGTGTTGGCGATGTTGTCCAGGTAATGCTGCAGCGTCAGTCGCTCGTAGAAAATCACATCACGTGAGGCCACGGTGTCATTGTCTTGGATGTCGAGAAGTTTCCATGCTTGGAAATGTTTTGCGATGCCGAGGTGTAGTCCCCACCGTGCTCGTTGAGAGAATCGTCCTGCTCGAGCTGTGTGGGGTCTGTACTGTACCATGCAGCCGAAGACTCGAAGTTATTTTGTGCTGCCCTGTTTTCCTGTCCACAGCAGGTGCGGTGATGCGTTGTTGGGAAGTGATGACGAGGACAGCAAATTGTGCAGGTGGACTGCATGCGTCATCGCGTCAGGCCAAAGCGTGTTGGGCAGTCTCATCCCCAGGAGCAGTTTCCGCATCATCGTTTGCAGGGTTCTGTTCATTCTCTCTGCGACCCCCTGCTGCTGGTGAGCATAGGGCAGAGACACCAGGCATCGGATGCCTCTTTCTACCAAGTAGTTCCTGAATCGTTGTGACTAGTATTCCAGTGCCCCGTCTGACTGGAAACTCTTGAGTTGCGATCCCGATTCTCGTTCAGCGATGGGAAGCCACGTTGTGAAGGCTTCAAACACTTGATCACGTGTCTTGAGGTTGTAGTGCCAGACGTATCGTGTTGCTGCGTCGATGAACGTGATGACATAGTTGTACTCTGCTTCACTGTCGTCTCGAGGCATATTTAAAATATCGCTGTAAACTTTTTCCATCGGTGCGGATGTAGGTGCACTTGGATTGTGGTGCGACAGGAAAGGTTGGTGGGGAAGATCAACTTCAGGACACGTGAAGCATCGTGCGTGGGGTCGTCGAAGCTCCTGCCCGCTCGTTGTGAGGAGAGCGTCCTTTTCTAGTACTCCGGCTTGTATGGTTTGTAGTACTGTGCTGTTTGCAGGGTGTCCGAGGCGTTGATGCCAGATGTCGTCGGGAGCGCGATGGCCGGGTGAGCGCTGGTACACGTCGGCATTGGAGAAGAATGCGACGACCGTGGCGGGACTGCGGCAGACTCCTCGGGTGATGGGCATGAGTTCATCTGCTTCGGTTGGCGGTCCTCGGATTGCTGGTGATGGCGCGCGGCCGGGTCCTGCTGCTGTTACTACAGGTGATGTCGAGGAAGGTGTACTTTCTGGTGCTTGTCATTCTTGATGAATGACTGCTAATGCGCGTGTTCTTTCTGCTCCAGGGATGGTGTTGGAGTACCAGAATCCGTCTGGAGTGAAGTCGGGGTCAAGATCCGGCGGGTGTGTCTAGGCGGCGAACGACACGATACCATCGCTATCGGTGGTTCCGCGGTCGGGGACGAAATCCAGCACGAAGACGCCCGACTTTAGGAGAGCGCGGCCGATGAAGAGGCCACCCTTCCCGTGGTAAAGGCGAAACTCGTTGGCGTCCGAGTCGCATTCCAGGTGAATCCCCTTCGCCATTAACTGGCTGACGCTTAGTAGATTGTATCCCAAGTTGTCGACGATGAGAACTTTGTTAAGTTGGATAATGATTTTTGTCTCTATTGACTGAAGTTGAACGACTCCTTGTCTATTTGTTTTCAGGTTCTCGTTGTTGGCGACGGTGATGATGACATCGCGGTTGAGGCATCGCTCTCGTTGTACGAAGCGCCCGGAAGAACACATGTGTTGGCCGCAGCAACTGTCCAAGAACCAGGTGTTTCGCCCAGTGGGTTCGGCGTTGGCAACTGCAGCATACGTGGGGTTAACTTGAAGACCTTGTGAGAGCGGCGGCGGCAGTTCTTCTTCGTCTGGAGCGTAAGTGGGTGGTGACTCGGGTCTACAGCTGTCGATTCGTACCATGCAATTGATGATGTTTGGTGTGTCTTGTGCAGGTGTAGAGGAGCGGCTTGGCGGATTCTCTTGAGTGGAGGCGACTTGCGGATCTGCTGGACGATAAACTCGAGGGCGTGTGCAGTTATCCTTGGAGTGTCCGGATGTCTGACAATTGTGGCAGAACGGTGGCACGATGGTGAGGCCTCTGGTGTCATATCGATTCTGCTTATCGCGTTGGTTGTAGTTGTTGTCGTTTCTTCTTTGAGTGTAGCAGAATAATGGCTGCTGCTTGTTCCGTGGTTGTCTTTCTTCA